ATCTGCACACAACACCGGGGGTTCTAGGTTCGAGTCCCTTTTGGTGAAGGATCATGGGTACACGCTGTTAAGAAGTCCAGTACTAGTATGAAATGCTGTTCAGTGCTTACAGGCTTTCCATGCTGGTCTATCTTTAATCGACTCATGAGTTCAACCATTATATTACTACAATTTTCACAAAATCCCCATTGTGAAAATAACAAATTACACTGCATATAACAGAATTAAGGACATTAGTCTTGGCTGAGAACAATTTAACTAAGCTTCTGTTTTTTAGAAAAAATAAATTATTCATAACTAAAAAGATACTTGAAAAACTAAGAAAAAAAATGATCTGAGTAATTTTAATTGACCATGAAACTCGGTTTAATAATGACTTTGGTGACGGATAGCCTATTTACTTAACTTGGAATAGTTTTTCAAAGTATAATTTATTTATCAGAAGAGGTTTGTGGAGATTTTGGAAATTTCACAGATTGAAATCATGAGTCAATTGAAGCTAGACCACGATGGAAAACCTGGAAGCACTGGATGGCCGTTTTGTCCTAGTAAGCGCCTGGCGCGAGACTGATTGGTCCTGGGTTCGAATCTCGCGGGGGACCGGATCGTGTATGCGCACTACTGTGGAGTCCCATATTAGGACGAAACGGCCGTCCAGTGCTTCCAGGTTTTTCATGGTGATCTAGCTTCAATTGACTCATGATTTCAATCTTTGATAATTTATTTAAACATCTAATTAAAAAAACAACCATTAAATGAGAGTGGTAAGCATCTAACTAAGGGAACGTTTTACTATCTATCACAATGAGTAAGCCGAATAAATTTATAGGCAAACGAGTTATACGAACAATGTGACTTGTGTTTATCCTAGATATAATATTATTTCTATATATCTTGTTGGTAAAACGATATTTGAGTGACGTCAAAGTAACCTTGAGAGTGTTCACCTCATAAACAGGACCAAATGATGGTTACAAACCAGTATGAGGGATTAGAATTATGATTTAGAGTTGATGGTTAAGGTTAGAAATTAGATTTAGAGCTTCCATGATGAACTGATATGATCTATAATACCAAAACTTTATTTAGCCAACTGGATGAATGAATTTCGCGCCAAAATTCGAAACCTATTGTCTTATACTCGATTGGTTCGTCCATAAATTATAGTCTCGGTGTCTTGTTTTTACTAACAGTTTAATTTTATAAAGTTAAATCATCAGTTGAAAATTTAAATGAGGTATTATGTCTCTGTAAGCAATTTCTATCCGTTCTCTCTTTAAATAATTCTTAATAATTGATGTTTAAATAGTTTATTTATCGAAGATTTATCAAAGATTAACATTCCCTAATAATGTTTTGTATGTATTCAATACTAAGGTGATTTTCATTGATTTCCATTTCAATACTAATGATATACAACCCTTCATATAGATTCATTAAATAGTAGAAATCATCAGATGGTGGTTGGAGGTAGTCAACAGGAAACCCTGGACCCGGGTTTCGTGCTACTTGGCACTCGTCAGCAAGGTGTACCTGTAATCTTGAGGGAACTGATGCTCTCTGGCGGATTCAATCTCGTGTCACCCAGCTTCACAGTCAGAGACGTTACCAGTAAGCTATCTGAGCCACGACCGACCTCCTGTAGGACTGAGATGTAACCACAATTGATTGATCACTGGGTGGTGATCAATGTCATGTGTGTCTAGTCCTTATTATTAGTGCAGATCGAATGCTATCGACCATATTGCAACGTGGCCACCAGCCAGTAGCACGAAACCCGGGTCCAGGGTTTCCTGTCGACTACCTCCAACCACCATCTGATCTCACAATAGTGCACTCAGTGTCGAGTCACCCAGGCTGGTGTCCACATTGCAACATGGTCGATAGCATTCGATCTGCACTAATAATAAGGACGAGACACCCATGACATTGATCACCACCTAGTGATCAATCAATTGTGAGTAGAAATCACTAATCACTTTGTATATTTCCTCATAATAATACATTTAGTGTAGTTCAATGAACGATATACTTTTTTCTAATTTCGAGGGATTTATTAAACTTTAAAATTGTTTATAGTACATGTGTTAATTATAGGTATTACATAACGAATTGTAATATAACGAAGCAAATGGCTTAGTATTTTCAAAGATATCAACCATAGAAATTTCACTAACTTTCATGAAAAGTCTCACTTGAATTCTCAAGATATTCTAGGAAATCAACTTCTGGATTAATACTATTGTGAATTCTTCATAAAGACAAATGTTTAGAAATGTAGTGATTTTTGAACTGTATTTATTAGATATACCGACATTGCCAGTAACTGAAGCAATAATCCAAACCTTTGTGATGAGCTGCTTTCATAAGGTATATTCGTCAGTTAATCAATTTCAAATCATCTCTCTTTTTTTGTAATTTTGAAACCCTATGGTGGATGAAATTTATATTATTAACCCTTCAGTTGAAACCAACATCTTTACTAAATGGCTCCTTTTCATTAAAAAAAACCACCAATCATTAAAAATACAATATTCTATAATATAGTATCATTTATTTCAATCTCAGTTAAAACTACAATTTAAATGAACACATGCTATATGTAAACAGATAACTTTAATGTTCTAAGTATTAAAAATCATTAAACCTTAGTTAGATCATAATAACTCTTCAAGGCCAAAGGAAAAGAGGAAGACCAAACAACACATTACGTCGAGAAATAGAGATAGACATCAAAAAAATGAACAAAAATTGGATAGAACTAGAAAGGAAGGCCCAGGACACAGTGGGTTTGTGAATGCTGATCGGTGGCCTATACTCCAATGGGAGTAACAGAAGTAGTAATAATGTGTATATAATTACATAAGGTTTCGATCATCAATAATTATAATTTATAAAATGAATTAAACCACATTATCACTTTTAAGCAGAGATAGATAATGGATAGCAATGGAATCCAGGATACACGTTTCATCCCATTAGTGACTAGTCATTCAGATTTACATGCATCCCAAAGTTAATGTTCACTCCGGGACTCGAACACAGTAATGTACCCTTCAAACATCATCGCCTTATTCACTTAGATAATATTGAGGCAAACCGCAAAAGATGTAAATATCCCAATAAGTGACGGATCAATTTCAATTCTAAACATCAATAGGAAGTTTTAAACAAACAATACAAAAATGATTCATATATTATCATTTGTTTTACTTATAAACATTTACTATAAATTCATTAAATTAAGATATTTCTATAGAAGAATGAATAGTTATACATAAGGGAGATTATGTCATATTTGACAATGATGACAAAGATTAAAACAAAGAAGTGAATTGAACATCTTCATCTTTGAAAATAATTAACATAATAGACTAATGTATGTTAATCATCTAAAAATAAATTAAATCCAGGGTATAATAAACTGTTCACGAAAGAAAAAGAAAACACAATGATTGTTATGTAACATCTTTAAAAAAAACTGTTGGGTGGTTACAAATAGTTGATAGGGAACTCTAGATCAATGTTTTCTATTAGATGGCACTTGACAGAATGGTGAACATACAAATTTCAAGGGAATGATAATTTCTTAGTGATTTAAACCTGAGCTACCGAGATTAAAAATGTTAAACGTTAACATGAAATTCTTTAAACCACAACTGATGACCTATAGGGCTAATTTATTTTCGTCTAACCATTCGATAGTCATTGTATAGTGAGTAATGTCACGTATACATAGTTCTTTAATGCTGATCGGATTATATTCAATTGCTAAGTATTCCAATATAGTTGACGAAATATAGAGGCATTTATACTTGTGGCTTCATTATCATCTGATCGATAGAATTGGATTAGCACCAAGCGACTAAAAGAATATGATACTGGTCGTTATTCAGTGAAGCCAATGATCATTCACAGACTATATATCCATTAATCAATAAGCTTAATTTGTTTGAGTTCATCCACCTTATGATTGAAACTATTCTAATAACCCAAACTAAAATGAAACATTTATCTTGTTCTTTCTGAAATTTTTTACGGCCGAACTAATATCAGTATGTAACTGAATTCACATTTAAAATTGATAATACTCATGAGATATAGGTACATCCAGCTGAAGAGTGTCAAATAGAATAGAACGCACGTCTTGAATTCCACTGCTAGCCATCATGCGATTTCAATAAAAGCTTGTGACTAAACTACAGTATTGGGATACTCCATTCAGGAAGCACATACGCTAACAGAGACCGACTACGTACAACCCTTTATCTCTAAACTAAAACACTCAAACCATCACATCTATTTATAAATCCGTACCCTTTAAAAATTTAAACGATTGTCTGGACTCGATAGCAAAAATTAGTCAGTTTAGGTCTCAGAATGAATATTAACACCAAGATGTAGTTAACTCCATCTAATATGTCTCAGACTTAACGCCGAAAGTGGATAGGACACACATTGAGGAAAGCACCCAACTGAGTCACAAGACAAGCCCTCACATAGAATCCTCAAGGCCAATGGGAAAGAGGAAGACTAAAGAACACATTACGCCGAGAAATAGAGATAGACATGAGAAGAATGAACAAAAATTGGATAGAACTAGAAAGGAAGGCCCAGGACAGAGTGGGTTGGAGAATGCTGGTCGGCGGCCTATACTCCATTGGGAGTAACACTCGTAAGTAAGTAAGTAATGGATTGTCAGTTTTAATAATCAATTTTTCAACTACAATATAATAAATACAGCTCCATTGAAACTAATAATCTGTTAATTTGGTTGTCGGTGACCAATTCATAATTACGTCATTGTTTTTAACATATATTATTAACAAACATGGCGTCACTAGTCAATTATCTATAAACCTGATCAGGTTAGATGGTAATATGAGAAAGGTTTCTTTGAAAAACTGTTGGAGAAAATAGATTTTGTTTTTTGTTTTGTTTATCTAACTTCTGTATATAGAGTAAAGGAAATTTTTGCAAGTTGTTAATTTCATCTATACTGTATCCTTACTACTCATCAATATCTTAGTAGTCACTACATATGTAAATTTTTGGAACTTACAAAATAAATCATCAATCAAAGTTTGCCAAGAATTGAAGATAACATTGAATGTTTCAGTTGAAACTTTTATTGTGATCCTTATTACTTTGACCATATAAGAAAAAACTTTACTCAAATACTTAACACTTCTATCCCATACACAGAGGAATAAATGTAGATGAAGATAAAAAGTGTAGCAGCAGCCTCTGCAGCAGTAGGCCTCAACATACCCAAGGGAAAAATAAAAATTTTCAAATACAACACGGAGAACACCAACCCAATCATACTTGGATGGCGAAACTTTGGAAAAGGTGGAAACGTTTGCGTACCTGGGAAGCACAATCAATGAACAAGGGGGGATCCGATACAGATGTAAAGGCAACGATTGGCATAGTAAGGGACGCATTCCAACAATTGAAAAACACATGGAACTTAAAACAACTATCAACTAACATGAAAGTCAGAATCTTCAATACGAATGTCAAGACAGTCAGTTCTACTGTACAAAGCCGAAACTTCGAGACCTACTACAACCATCATCAGGAAGGTACAAGTGTTCATAAATAGTTGTCTACGCAAGATCCAACATCCATTGGCCAGATACCACCAGTGACAGACAACTGTAGGAGAGAACAAACCAGCTTTCAGTTGAGGAGGATATTAAGAAAAGACAATGGAAGTGGATAAGACATACATTACGGAAATCATCAAACTGCATCACGATGCAACTTGGAATCCTGAAACAAAACAGAAAAACCAATGAACACACTGTGTAGAGGATTGGAAGCAAATATAGAAAGAATGAATAACGACTGGAAAGAACTGAAAAGAGTTCGATGTAGAGTGCTGGTGGACGGCCTATGATCCTCGACGAGGGTTAACAGGCGTAAGTAAGTAAACAAGCAAGTAAGTAAGTAAGTAAGTAAGTACATAACACTTCATTCCTTCTAGACCTTTAAGTTGACAAATTTCAGAGCAAAATTATTAACTGAATATCTTTTAATCGTTTTTTTTTCTTTAATTAAAGAATAATACCGATATTGAATGTATCATAATTAAGAGCAAACGATATATATATATCATGCAGTATATACTATTTACTTTATTCCTAATAATAATTCACAAATTCTTAATTCCAATATAAATCGATACATTTTGTTGCTATGCTATAGTAACTAATTGATTAAAATATAATTTTCTCTTTTTTTGTTGCTTATTCAATTAAAGTTGCGTGTTAAATTTGTTTCCAGGTAGTTTGATTTCAATATATATATATATATATATATATATATATTTCATAACCATTCAAATTGTAATGAGAGACAACCAACTAAGTGAATTTGTTTTACATATCTATATAGTCATAGTTTCATAATAAACTAGTTTATGACACATTGTCTAAATCTTTATATTAATATGACTGTTCAAATTATTCTCTGTCAAAATAGTAAATAGTTAAGAAATATTGTGTTTTATGAATAATGAACGAGTTTAAAAATACGAAATTTATATTTTATTATGATGAAATAGAATAACTTACTTACTTACTTACTTACTTACTTACTTACTTACTTGCTTACTTACTTTCTTACTTACTTGGTTGCTTACTTACTTACTTACTTTCTTACTTAGTTACTTACTCACTTACTTACTCACTTACTTACTTACTCACTTACTTACTTACTCACTTACTTACTTACTTACTTACTTACTTACTTACTTACTTACTTACTTACTTACTTACTTACTTACTTACGCCTGTTACTCCCAATGGAGTATAGGCCGCCGACCAGCATTCTCCAACCCACTCTGTCCTGGGCCTTCCTTTCTAGTTCTATCCAATTTTTGTTCATTCTTCTCATGTCTATCTCTATTTCTCGGCGTAATGTGTTCTTTGGTCGTCCTCTCCTCCTTCGACCTTGAGGATTCCACATGAGGGCTTGTCTTGTGACTCAGTTGGGTGCTTTCCTCAATGTGTGTCCTATCCACTTCCAGTGCTTCTTCCTGATTTCTTCCTCCGCTGGGATCTGGTTTGTTCTCTCCCACAGCAGGTTGTTGCAAATAGTTTCCGGCCAAGGGATCAAAAGTATTTTGCATAGACAACTGTTATTAAACACCTGTATCTTCTGGATGATGGCTGTTGTATTTCGCCAGGTTTCCACCGCATACAGTCGAACGGTCTTGACATTTGTATTGAAAATCCTGACCTTGGTGTTGGTTGATGAAATAGAATAATCCTATATTCAAATAATGAAATATTTAGTATTAAATAGTTGAGTTCATGAGTCGGTTGAAGCTAGACCATCATAGAAAATTTGGAAGTTATAGACGACTGTTTCATTCATAGTATGGAACTCCTCAGCAGTGCTCATACAAGATTCTATCGGTCTTGTGTGCGAACGCTTAACCTCTAGACCGCTAGACCGGCATTTAATGGAGTCACAAAACAGAACGAGATGGCTGTCCACTGCTCCCAGGTTTTCCATGATCGTCTAGCTTTAATTGATTCATGATCTCAACTACTCAACATTACTATAATATCCGAAAAACCCCTTCTGATATTCAGTAGTTAAATTCATGATTGAAATAAATCTAGACCGCCGTCGGATCCCGGTTCAATAGTCTAGAGGTTAAGCTCTCTCATAACTGAACTCTACACAACTGGGCTTGTATCCAATGGTGTTAATGTCTAACTAACCAGATTGCACTACCGTCAATCATTGTCTTCAATGAATTCCTGCCTCACAATAGACACGGTTGAACTTCATTAGTCATGACTTCTCACTAGAACTCCAGAAAATCCATCATGAAGTTAGTCATTAGTGAGCACATGATAATTATCAGTATAGATTTGTAGAGATTGTTGAGTTTAGACTGATGTCATAAATGAACATCCATTAGTAATATCATCTCTATAATCATGAAGAAAATGTTATAACAGTTGAATTTATCCATAGTTTTTTTTTTTGTAATTACTATAGACTCATATTGCTAACGTTTTAAGTTTATTTATACTGATCTACATAGAAGATTAAAACTATTATCCATTTGATAAAAACTATAGAATCAATACATAATCTATCTCAACATAGAACCAACGATTTTTTCCCTCAATGATAAATGCTTTAATAAAAAGTTACCGACTTCTAAGTGTAAAGATGAGACTTAGCAACAAAAATAATAGAAAAGACAAAAACTATAAATTATGAAATGGATGTAACACGCAAGGTAACAAAAAAAAACAAGCAAACAAACACACAAACATTGACGAAAATAAACATAAATTCACTTTTATTTTTAACAACGATATTAAAAAAGAAAAAAAGTAATGAAAATTTCGATGACGTAAAGAAAAATTATTTGTATCACAAGGGGTTTTATGGAGATTTTAGTAATTTCAATAGTTGAGATCATGAGTCAATTGTGACTAGACCACTTTGGAAAACCTGGAAGCATTGGACGGCCGTTTCGTCTTATTGTGGGACTCTTCAACAATTCACATCCACGAACCCCTTCTGACACTAAACAACATATGTTCACTAGTGAATGGCTTCAAAAGGTATTTCTTGAAGTTGTAGTGAGAAGCAGTGACCAGTGAAATTCAACCGGGTCTGTTGTGAGGTAGTAACTCACTGAAGACAATGGTGAATGTGTCGCTCGATTTCGTGGATTAGTTAAAGCTAGACAGTAACACCGTTGGATGCCGACCAGTTCAGTGCTCTAGTGGTTAAGTGCTTGCGCGCGACACTGATAGGTCCTGAGTTCGAATCCATCGAGGCGGAATCGTGGATACGCACTTCTGAGGAGTCCCATAATAAGATGAAACGGTCGTCCAATGCTTCCAGGTTTATTTAAGTAAATAAAAAGTTAAAATCAATTTAAAACAACAATTGATTTAACTTATTCAAATAATTTACAATTTTTTTTATTATTTGTATTGTTGGTTCATCAAATTTAACAGAATTCATTCTTTAGAAAACTTTAGATAAGTTTTGCAGAAAACCAAGAAAAAGAAACTGCATTGCTTCATTTTGAATGATGTTATAACAACTATCCTACAAGCAATTTTGATTAAGGTTAACTTTTGTCAAGACTTATGAGCTTATTTAATAAACAACGTTATACGGACAGTAAAAATTTGTCTACTTCTTTGTATTATTATAATCACTATCATGTCTGTATAAACGTGTACACTTGATCATATGACAGCCTACGTACATTTCTCTTTGTAGCTTAAGTGTTTATAGCTTAAATATCGCTCAATGAATCATTCTCTTTCGTATGTATATATGTACTCGAATCTTATTAATAGCCTTCGGCTTACTTAGCTGCACCTTAATTCGACTTGACTATAAATTTGCTTCTATATTCACTAGCACACACATTCACCACTCTGTTACAAATTCGTTAGATGTGCTTATAACTTTGTGATCTATGCTATTCACTAATAAATTGTAGTTGTCGCTTCTTATCGCCTTGTGATTTCAAACACTGTTGAGATTTCAATAACTGAAATCATGAGTCATTTGAAGCTAGACCACCATGTCTAACCTCAACCAGTCCACGAAATTGTGCTTCAAGTGACTCATGAATTCAACTGTTAAATTACTATAATATCCACAAAACCCTTATCTGATTATAATCATTATCTGCTCACTAGTGACTAACTTCAACATGGATCTCCTGGAGTTCTAGTGACAAGCCATAACTAGTGTAGTTCAACCGTGTCTGTTTTGAGACAGTGACTCAATGAAGATATTTCTAGACAGTCGTGTAATATTGTGGATCGGTTGAAGTTAGATGTTAACATCATTAGATGCTGGCTCAGTGGTCTAGTGGTTAAGCGTTCACGCACGAGACTGATAGATCCTGGGTCCGGATCTCGCAAGTTTGGGTTATGGATGCACACTGTTGAAGAGTCCTATACTAGTATGAAATACTGTCCAGTGTTTCCAGGTTTTTGATGGTGGTCTAGCTTCAAGTGATTCATGGATTCAACTATTAAATTAAATATCAGATGTTATCATATGATCGGTTATATAATCTTTTTTTACTTATAGATGACTACTACTATTACTACTCCTATTATTCCGTTTATTGAAATGTTTAATTAAAAAATACTATTGAATTTTAATATCAATTTCTTTTTTTATAGAAACGGTAAAACCATATATGGTCTATTACTAAAGAGAAGTATGTGATAGAAAAGATAAAAACTACCTGTTAATTGACAAATAATTAAAATCCCAATGGAATACATCTTTTTACCAACCTACTACCTACCTACCGTTAAACTTGTTTTTCTGACCTTTCGACTGTAAATAATCTTTTTCCAGAAGAAAAAAAACCGGCCGTTTTGAATTTGTAATTTTAATTTTTCCCCCTATACATAACATTATTGAACTG